TGGAGTCCATTCTGACCCACAGCGCCCCTAGAGGACAGAGTGGAACTGCCCACAGGGTCTCCAAGGCTGTAATCCACAGAAGCAAAGCCTCATCTTTGTCCCGTGGAGCAGCAGGTGGATTTGAACTGTCCACCTTTTGGTTCAAAGCCCGATGCCATAGCCACCGGAGCTCTTTGCTGTAATGTCTGCCCTGGGCCAGAACTAAGAGAGGTGAGTCAGGTGGGCACTCTCATTGGGTTTTTCATAGTTCAATTCAATGAATGACTGCTGAGCTTCCAGTCGACAAAAATAATTTTGAGCAAAAAATGGATGCTTAGAAAGCAGAAAGTTAACTCCTGTCCTTTTTGGTACTATTTTCACCTAAGAATCCTTTAGCAACGTTTATAACAACCGTTTCTTGTGTTCAAATAAACACATGAAGTGACCATAGTAGTAAGATTCTGTGCATATGAAGGGGCTGGGTTGCATCTTCCCCTGAGGAACGGTGCCGTGCGTGCCGAGCAGAAGTGCGCCCTGTAGTGTCCTCAGAGGCTGACTTTCTGGAAGTAGATAGGCAGGCCTTTCTTCCAAGGGGCCTCTGAAGACGGCCAAGACACGACTGTCAACCTCTGGTTAATGGTCTGTACTACACAGGGACTCCTGTTTCCCCCCAAATCTCTGAGCAAATGAACGTGTGCTGGGGGTTAATCACCACTTGGACGTGAGGGACTTTGTCAGAGCTGTTATATTTATATACACCTTCCCACATCCAGTCCCAGGGGTGGCGCTAAGGCGGGCCTGGAGCTAGCACTTGCCTGGGATGTGAGCCTGTGGGTTTCCAAGCACCACGTCGCCTTCTGTTAGTTTCACTTTCTGCCACGCGGGACTGTGGCTCGTTCATCAGCTTCTGGAGCTCTTGGATTATCCTTTTGACGTTCAGTCCGTTCCGAGAAGCTCCAAAGGTAGCTTCGTTGAAGGGGAAAATGAGAACAAAGTTGCCTGCTTGGGGCTCGAGCTCTTCCCTGCTCCCGGGGAGCGGAGCTGGGCTGCCGCTGGCCTTGCAGGGCTGCGCCGGGGGCTGGGGCGGGCGGGGGCTGCAGGACTTGCGCGGCGTGTGCCTGCTCCTGGACCTGGGCTTGAGCTTGGGCAGCTCTCTGGTTGCCGCGAGGCCCTCCTGCTTGTTCATCCGTTCTCTAAGCTGGGAGGTGCGTGTGTTTTTGGGCCACGTTCTTTCCGCTTTCTCCATGGCGGGCTTGCGCTTCGCAAATACCGTGCCTGAGATCTGTAGGAGAGAGCCACGGGGCAGAGCGCCACGCACGTCCCTGAGCCCCCCTCTGCCACTTCTGGCCGAGGAGACACTGGCATCACCCCTGGACACGTGGCCGCTCCCCTTGTTCCTCGGGCTGGTGACGTGAATGAGCTCGATGATGTCGTGGATAAGTTTCCTCTTCACAGACACGTCCGTGGAGCAGTGTAAGGACAAGGCGGGGCTGTAGTTGACTTCCAGGAGCCAGGGCTTCAGATTGTCATCGATCAGGACATCAAAGCCAAAGAGCTCGAAGCAGTTGGCGGCACAGGGGACCGAGGGAGCAATGGCCAGCACTGTCAGGATGACCAGGTGGGTGATTTTTCGCCACAGGAGCAGGTCGTCCACGTCGCAGCTCCTGAGGTACGAGAAGAACCTGCTGAGGGTCCATTTGCAGCCCTGGCCCACCACCTCTTTGAAGTTCCGGTAGGAGGCGCCCAGGGTGTTGATGCTGCTGTTGGTCAGGTGGGCGTAATCGTTTTGCAGATGTCTGAGGTCAAACTTCTCTGTGGCGAACCGTACCAGCCCTTCCTGGTAGATGTAAATGGTCAGAGGCTTAAAGCCCGTGACGCAGACGTAGATCCGCAGGTCACACTTGTACTTACCGACCAGCAGAGGGTTGCAGATGTATTTCTGCACCACATACGTGTGATCGAACACCAAGTCTTTAGTGTCACTGAAGATCATGATGCCCCTCCCGCGGGACAGCTCGGCTGGCTTGCAGATCCAGTAGCTGGGCTTGGTGCCCAGCGTCTGCCTCTCCTTGGAGTACTCAGCCATGAACTTGTGGTAGTCACTGGGCATGATGAACGTGAGCGGGATGAACTCGTAGAGGGAGGCACCGTACAGCCTCTTCATGTGCGTCAGCAGCTTTGCCAGGTCGTCCTTCCTGGTGAGCCTGGTGGTTCCCGGGTGGTGGTTCAGTCGCTGCCAAGGCTTGAGGTGGGCGTGCTTGATCATCGGGAAAGGGGACACCCTCCAGTACAGGTTCCAGTCTTCCACATCCTGCGTTCGCTCATCAAATTTATTCCAGCCGCGCTCCAGCAGGACACTCTGCACGACCTCTGGGGTGGTTTCGTCCACACGGAACACCGGGGGTCTCATGACGGCCCCCGCACGGCCATCTTCCACCGTCAGGTCAGGGTTTCTCTTCTACAAGTAGAGACAGAAGAGGGTTAGAGGACAGGGCTGAGAGCAGCGGTGCTTCTGGGTCACTAGCTAGCTCGTCTCTGGTCTGCACCTTCCCCTGCACCCAGGTGCCTCTCTCCCAAAGACAACTGTCTCTGCCACCTCTACCCACATGTATCTGCCTGTGCCCTTCTCCCACCTCTTCGAAGCTTACCCGTGCGTGACGCTCTAGTTCCAAAAATAGAAAATCTGTCACTGTCAACTCACTCCCAACTCATGACAACTCTGTGTCACAGAACAGGACTGAGCTCCGTGGGGTTTGGGCTGTCATGTTTACGGAAGCAGGTCACAAGGCCTTTCTTTGGCAGCACCGCCTGGTGGGTTTGAACCGTCGATCTTCAGGTTAGCAGCTGATCACAAACCGTGTGCACCATCCAGATCCAAAGCCATTCTATCAGTGACATGTTAAGACATCTGCCATTGCACCATCAACATTCTGAGGCTATAGTTTCCCATCGGCAGGTGAGCATTATTTTATTT